TTATGTCTATTTCATTTGGCTGATTAAGCCCTTAGAGTTATCTATTCTTCAAAACAAGATTCACAAGTTTGGTTTAGGCTCCTCTGCCTCACTAGGTAATAAACCTTCTTTAACCAATCTTTAAATCTCATTTTGATTGATTATAACCCAAAAATAGACACCAAAAATACAATGAGTCAGGAATAACAAATTTTCTCTTAACATTCAATCTAGAAGATGCAACATTAGTTTCTACATCCTGCAAATCTTAAGAGCTTGTGATTATAGTATATTAACCATCTTTCAATGCACCAGAAGCAATCGCATATCTATTCAATTTTATAAAACCAGTTTTACAAAATAACGATCTAGTTTTTATAAACCACAAGTGAAACAAAAATTAGATAGCGTCTAACCACTGTGCATAAAGATAATTCTCTAATACTAATATCCTCATACTCTCTAATTTCAGATGTAATACTCCCACTGACTTAACTACAACCTTGGCATCAGGTCAAAAGATAAATATATTTCCATATCATCAAGGCTTCTGGATTCCTGAAATCCTTACAACAAATTGCAAACATGTTTAGTGGCTCCAGAATCTATCCATCAGGAATCAATAGATATTTTCCTATGCCACGTCAATGATTAAATATATATTTTCCTATGCCACGTCATTGCTTAGACAGTTTGTCCTTTAGTGTCTTAGTTACAACAAAAGAAACAGTTTTCTTCGCCCTCAACATACACTGCCTTATTCCCTTTAACCTTTTTGAATACCCATGTTCTGTGCTAGTCTAGTCCTATTATCATCCTTCTTCTGTGCTTTGCCCTTCCACTTGGGCCTAGAAGAAAATGGTATAAACTAGGTTAGATTGATAGGAACGCCCATACTCTTGATTATCCCTTCATCTGTTACCAATTCTATAAGAATATCAGCGAGTGTGAACTCAAACTGATTCCTTATTTAGTTCACTCTAACAGAGTCGAACGAGTTTGGTAACAAGGCAATAATCATGTTAACTTGAAACTTACCACCCAAGTCAGCCTTATTGATCTCCAGCTAATTTTTAAATAATAAACAATCATTTTTCAAAATTCGATTTCATACTGGAGTTCCTTAGGCTATCTTGATGCTATTCAAGTTTGACATAGTACTTTGGCATACTCTCTATCTAATCTCACCAAAACATCTTATTAAAATTTTAACATGATGCTTGAAGAAAATAAAATAATGTAAATGTTAGCTTTGGAGCGTATTCGAGGTAAACTCTAGAATATTGCACCAAGTCATCTCATTTGCCTTATTTCACTTATTCAAAGCATTAATGTTCTCTTGGGTATCTTAAAGTAAAAGGATTAGGTTTAGGAGTAGTAAATACATTTGTACCCTTACGTTGTGAATAAAATATCTAACTTCCTTTCCCAGTCAATATTAATGAAGTCCAGTTACATTGAATATGTAAGCAAGCAGATAAACTGGATTAAACATAATTAATCTGAATATAAATGCATTCATACAATATGCAAGGTGAATTATTAATACTGTCATGCATATTTAAAATTAAAATGAGTTTGTTAACCACATAATATAATAAATCTCAATTGAACAAGAGATCATTATCATTATTGGTGAACAATCCCTTTTAATTAATGCGGGTCCCTCAACTTTGTAGCAAAATAAATCAACCAATCAATATGTCAATAACTTATCCTATTGGAGGAGTTCATTATTACTATTATTGAGATTCATTTGCTATTAAGCGAGCACTTCTATTAAAATAATAATATGTGGGTCCCTTAACCACTGCATGAAAAATCGAATAACCAATACGCCAATAACTTATTTGGTTGGCGAAGTTCATTATTGCTATTGGCGGGCAAATCCCATCATTTCCATATCTCTTAAGACAATGCCTTATCTATCATATGAAATGATTCCCGATTTAATTTAGCCTTTCTAAAATCACCTAGTATAGACCACTTCGTTGGGAAGCTAACACTATTGATTTTAGATTGAGTGTATAACGTTATTAAAACTCTAACGAAAAATTAAACATTAAATATGTTGTCATTATAATCTAGACTCTTTAAATCATGCGTAGGGCCTTATTTTTAAAGATCTAATTACAATGAACATTTAATATTTTAATTTTCATGAGACAACCATTCTTGTAATATTAAGACTCTTCAAATCATGCTTGGGGCCTTATTTTTGAAGATCTAATTACAATGGTGTTAATAACGAAGGCCATGGGGCAATGTATAAAAATCCCCGCTCCCACTCAATTTTTAATCATTCATAATTAGGGTTTTCAATTTATTTATTTACATGATATAATGCATGCAAAACGTCTTGATTTTAATCCAATTAAATTTAGAAAATATTTAGACTTTAAACGATTCACTAATATTTAATTTAAAGCACACTTTAAAAATAATTCAATAATTTTGCGTTTCCCAATAAGTGCCCTCAAATTAATTAGTAATCAAATCCAATTAATTTTCATAACTTAATTAATATAAATCAAGCCATTTAAATAAATATCATGGATCCAATGCATGAATAATAATTAATTAACAATTATATATTCCGTGCATTTCATACATCGCATAAATAAACAAATAACAGATAAAGCAAATAAAATGGCCAATGGAATCAGCTTTTAACATTTAATTGCTCTAATCACTGCGCGAAGATCTTCCATCAGCTTGCAAACACCTACAGGAAGCTGGTAGGCATCTGGAAAAGCAAAACAGTGCTTGGAACGCGCCCGGAGAGTGTCCAGCATGTCCCCATGCGCTCCCACGCGCTAGGAGAGTGGACAGGAAGTCTCCACGCGCTACTGGAAAGTTCCAGCGCGTGCCACGCGCTCCCACGCGCCTGCACGCGCTGGAGGGATGATACAGCGCGTGCCACGCGCCGGCACGCGCGCGTGTGATGTACTTGCTTGGCCTGGCGCGTGCTCCTCACGCGCCAGCAAGCAGCTGATCTGGCTTTATCCGGCGCGTGTTCCTCACGCGCCGGAATGGTTGACTTTTCTGGCGCGTGGAACCCACGCTCCAGATTCCATTCCCCACCTATCACTTCTGGCGCGTGTTCCTCACGCGCCAGATTCATTATTGGTGCACTGCACCAGATCCCAGCCTCCTCCAGTAGTTCTTCTCGCCACCGGTGACGTTCCGGCCACCGGAAAAACGCCGAAAATTCCAGAAAATATTTAAAAAATTCCAGAAAATATAAATTAAGCCTCAAAAAATTCCAAAAAAATTCCAAAAAATTCCAGAAAATTACTGAAGCATAATTTAACCCTTTTGGACCTTCTTGAAGCTTCATAACATCCTTTGATGAATATTACATGGCTTTAAAAATATTTACAACTTGAAATACAATGGGAAAAATAAATTATATCATTGAACTTTCAAACGGCTAAATCAAAGCCTTAGTTACATTCATCCAAAGATAAAATTACATTCAATATTCCTATAAGCTTCATCCATGGCCCAAAACACATATCATCATCCATTCAAAATTATACATACATCATCATGTATCAATATATATCAATATATTAATTCATACATCAACATACATCAATAAATAAATATATGCATATCAAAATTGGATCCATGAATGATGAATTTTCATAAAATCATGATCTCTAGTAATGAATCAAACCATGCTCTGATACCACTGTTGGGAAACGTGCTAGTTTTAAAAACTTTTCGAGGGATTTAAATTCATAAATCTTGATTCATCACATAGAGACAAGTTTTATGCAAAAATAAAACATGATGTATCATTCAATTAAAAGATTGAATACTTACATCAAGGTTTGAGTAAACCTTAGATCTCTCCTCTAAAGTGAATGTTCTCACTTATTGTAGATCCCTTTTGCTAGACACCTTTTTCATGGATCTCCATCTTCTTGGTAATTGTTTTGCCTTTAGGAATCACTCATAAGCCTCTATGAATGACCTTGAAAAACTAGGCTTGTGGGAGCCTCCATTAGATGAGAACATAAACCCTAATTTTCTAGAGAGAGAAAATTTATTCCTTTTTCCTTCTCATAAAAATCACCCCCTAAAATATACATAGACCATGTATATTTATAGGCAACATAAAAATAAAGAAAAGGAAACAACAAATCCTTCTCCATCTCTAATTCATATGTCTCAAATCTAATATGATTCCAATATCAAGTTGGGCTATGAGTGAGAATCCATTGGGCCTATTATTTTATTGGCTACAATGAATTAATAATTGGCCCGGTCCATGGACCCAATTCAATTAATTCATAAATTAATTTCTACTCCACTAAAAGAAATTAATTGAACTCCAATTAAATAATAAATAACCTCTAAGTCAATATTGCACTTTGACCCCTCTATGCATAATTAGTTATCGGATAAATATAGCCATCAATCCGACTACTTAATTAATATATTTATTTTGGTACCTTTGATTATTTCTGGCTCGATCACAATAAAACATTTGTTTGACAAAAATAATAATTTAAATAAATAAATATATAATAAATCATTTTGTCTAAAAACACACGAAGGCCTTCGAATTTACTTTGTGATCAACCATAATCAATACAAAATAAATACAAGTAGCAATGATGCAAATATTGAAAATATAACCCTCTAACTATTAATTACATAACTACCGAAAGTGTCGGTCTAAGGATCCCGAAGAATCCGCCGAACAAATCAAAGTAATTATTAATTAATAAAAGAGTCTATACTTTTCTCATGCTTAAGAGTCAAATGCCATGACGGTGATAGGGAGTAATTGCATACGACGGCTCTCGCAATATATCTCAACCTAACGCGGATCCAGTTCAAGTCTTAATTAATTATGAGTCTATCCATAATTACCGACTATGAACAATTTATAATTACTATTTATATATCATGCATTGATTGTCATCACATACATATATATAAATATTTCTTGTAATTACATGGACACTATCAATTTCATAGTGAATCGAAACATAATACATTGAATTCACCAATTATATAAATCATAAATATTTCAGATATGTCAGGAACATATGTCACTATAATTCAGATAGGAATTTGCTATGCCAGGGCATATAAATCCCAACATCATTGTCATAGGATGATGGTCTATTCCTGATACAATCTAAATATTATAGTCTTCTTCATATGAAGAATTAAATGCTGGTGGTTCAATAGGCAACGGTTGCTATGATCCCTGGTGCTCCTCCCACCATTGTTGACATCATCTAATGCAATTCAAATCGATAAAGCAAATAAGCATGGCAAATTAACATACTGCAAAGAGTGATCCATGTGCTGTGCGAGCAATTAACTAGAAATTAAAGTTCATCCGGAGAAAAACAGCTGAGAAATACCAATAGTTGAAATTGCCAATCTAATTAGTGATTTGTTAGGTACATATTCATGAAATTCTTTCTGGTGGACGAATTTTATATCATTGGGAGAGAGTATCATACTGGTTGCAGTGAACCCTTTTTAGTTTATGCTGTTATACAATATATCAACTTTCTATATTATTGTTCATGCTACACTCAACTAATCATATAAAAACTTTATTTTCCAACCAAGAGTAATGGACAAATAATACTGGAAAATCCAACCAAAGAAATATATATATATATATATATATATATATATATAAGTGCAAGAAAATAAATAAATAAATAAATAAATATATATATATATATATATATATATATATATATATATATATTTAAGTGCAAGAAAATAAATAAATAAAAAATATCATTAAATTAGTGATTGAAAAACTTGTCCAATGCATTGTCCTAAGACATTAGGTCTTTCACTCTGTGTGATGTTATAAGAGTCACATAGATTTGTTCAAAAGGTTCAACAGTCCAAAGATCATAAGTGTTTCCTCCAATTTGATGAATCCACAAACCAACACCAACTTCGTATCCACGGAAAACTTGAAATCTTTCGAAAGTAATGAAACGATAAGAAGAAGATTTAAAATCATTGAGAAATTTAAAAGAGAAAGAAAGCTCTGTTAAAAAGGAAAAAAGAGAGAAGTGTAGTAGTTATCATCAAATTCCAGGGGCATGGACTCAATATATATATATGGAATCCTCAATTCCTATGTGTGATTAGATAATTTCCCATCAAATATGTTATACATTCTTATGGTTTATTCTATGGTCATCCATAAAAAGAATTAACTTGAACACAAAAAAAGTGCAGGAGCAGCAAAAGCAAGGGAAAGTCAAGTGGAGGATTCATCTCGGAGTCAAGGGTGGGTGCATCCCTAGATTGGGCATGGTAAGATGAGAATGGATTCTTCTTCCTTAGACAACATTGGGTAAGGGAGGGTGTCATTACCTAACTCAACAATCCTAGTGAAAAGGTGCCGTTCTCACGATCTCACGCGAATTGCGAATTCAATTTTGTCAAATTTTGAAATCTTAAGGATTTTTTATTCTTTGAATGATAAACAACCACATGAGATATTTATTATTGACTATATATTGAACCAAAATGTATCTAATATCGAATAAAAATTGTTAGAGAAGTGGAGAACTAAGAATAAACCTATAATATTAAGAAAAGACTGGCAAATCTTTTACTTGATGAATGTCCTAATTATAGACTAGTTTTGTTACCCTTATTTACTTGATGAATGTCCTAATTATAAAGGCAAGGCCCATGGCCCATTACAACACCAAACAGTGCTTGATCATGTGCTGAAGTGCTTCAATGATATTAAAGTAACAGTGCACAAACTTGGGAAGATCCACACCAAAAGAGCTATATATATATATGTATACTCTCTCTTTGAGAGTCCAAAATAAAATTATAGATATGTATAGAGAGAGACTACCTCAAACTGCAGGCGACGGTTGTGAAGGATAGAATACTACTGATCCAGTGGTGCTGCTGTATGAAGATCATTGAGCATGGGAGTTTGATTCATAGGAAGAGAAACTACTCCCGCCGACCACATCATCTAATGCAATTCAAAAAGCAAACAAGCATGGCAAATCAGTTGCATTTAAATTTGTTGAGAGAACATATATGCATGCACATATAGATTTAGTAAAATTAAACTAACACTTCTAATTGAATATTCAATATAACCAGAAAAGAAAGAAAAAAAAAAAAAAACACAGAAAAATTGAAACAGATAAGAAACACTAATTCAGCACAAACCAAATTTAGTGCCCGAATAATGAAGAAGCATGCTAACATTAAAGCAAATTAGAAATATCCAAGATAGAACAGTGTACCTTGAGCTTAAGAGTTTGATTTCCACCAAGAGGTTTTTCAGAAACCTTCAAATTAAACCTAATCCCTATAAATAACAAAAAATTTAAACAAATTTAGGAGAAATTTCAATAGTTATTTTCACTTAAATTCAAATTCACCGAAACATTTTGAACCAAAATGAGATATCCATGGACGGTCCATTTTGTAGAAGATTTTCCAGAATCAAAGAATGACGGGAAACCAGACCGATGTTAGAGAGAGAAGAGTTCTCACTGTAACTCTAAGCCCAGGTTACAACAAGAAGATCCGGAATGTAGAGAGAGAAAGCGAGATAGAGAGATTCACAGAGAGATAGAGGAGAAGAGGCAGAGAACCAGATACTACGTCCACCGATTGTTGCAACTGAAGATTGATGAGGCTGCCCTGTTATCCCTAAACTAGATGCCTTTTGAGAGTGACACGTTAGAACCGTTTCTTTGAGACATGGCACACAAAGGGAGTAACAAATTCAATCGAATCTATCCAATAACTAAACTATCACTCTTTATCTCATATTGCCTATAATATATATATACCTTTGTGTTCCCTATGCCACGTCTGAAATAAACGGTTTTAACGTGTCTCTCTCTCTCTCTCTCTATATATATATATAGCATCGTGTGTGTATATATATATATATATATATATCAATATTTCTTTTTTTAGACTCTGTTTGTTTAGATGAAAATAGTAAGAAATAAAAAATAGAAAGAAAAGTGAAGTAAATGAAATTTCTAGTATGTAGTTGTTTAGGATGAAAATTTCTTCCAGAAAAGTGTAGGAAAATATCATATTATAATTTGGATACCTAAATTACCTTTATTTTATAAAATAATAAAATAAAAAACAATTAGTAATAAAATATCTGTTAAGTGCAAAAAAACCTCCTTAAACTATTGCCCTTTTGCAAATAACCCTCCTGAACTAAAAACTGTCCCCCTAAACTTTTGATTTGTTGCAATTAAGGATAAATCTATCACAAAAGACTTTCTCATTAAAATTTTCATTTCTTATTAAATTATTTTTATTATCTTTTCTCTTATGTAAATATTAATTATACTATTTACCTTAATTTTATTATTAGTATCAATTTATCATAAAAATGAAAAAAAATAGATAAATAGATTTGTAACTACCATTTTTTAAATTGATTAACTTATTATTAAAACTTAATTATTTATAATAAAAGGTATTACAACCAAAATATCAACTTTCATACAATATATTGATGAAAAGCTAATAAAATACTTTTGAAAAAAATACCTTCTTTTCATGTAATACAGTCATTAAAATTTTAAAAATTTATTAATTTTTTTAAAAAATTCTACTAAATATATATGTGTGTATGTACACTCTCTCTGTGAGAGTCTAAAATAAAATTATAGATATATATACAGAGAGATACTACCTCAAACTGCTGGCGACGGTCATGAGGGATAGAATGCTACTGTTCCTGTGGTGCTACTGTATGAAGATCATTAGGCATGGGAATTTGATTCATAGGAAGAGAAACTCCTCCCGCCATTGCCGACCACATCATCTATTGCAATTCAAAAGGTAAACAAGCATGGAAAATTAATTACATTTAATTTTGTTGAGAGAACATATATGCATGCGCATATAGATTTAGTGAAATTGAAAACTCACACTTCTAATTGAATATTCAATATGAGTAATGATACTTACACCGATTTGTTACAGTGAATTACCTAATCGAATGTTTCTAATTGATTATTTATGCATAACGCATATATGTGGAGGGCTCACTTCTTTATTGATGCATAAATGGACCAATTAAAAGAAATAGGTCTGACAATTCACCATAACAAATCGCATAAATAAAAAAGTGGGGTCCTCCACTTACATATATTATGCATAAATAACCAATTAGAAACATTCGGTTAGGTAATTCACTACAACAAATCGGTGAAAGTATCATTACTCATTCAATATAACCAGAAAAAAAGAAAAAGAAAAAAAAAATAGAAAAATTGAAACAGATAAGAGACACTAATTCAGAACAAACCAAATTTAGTGCCCGAATAATGAAGAACCATGTTAACTGTAACGACCTAAACTTCGGGGTCCAGATCGCTAACCGGGTCCTTACCCAGACCCGAGGTGAAATAGGGGTACTATGGTCATTCCGCATTAATTTAATGATTTAAGGTCCATTAACAGTAAAACCGTCATTTATTAGAGTCATTCCATGAATTAAATAAGGTCTAGAGGCCTTGTAGTTATACCACGTCCTTCTAATGGTTCTAAAGTTCATAGGGGCATAATGGTCTTTTTGCATGGTTGTAATACCCCTAATTTAACAAGGATAATTCTGAAATTTATTTAATTATTTAAATTGTGTTTTATTGATTTAGTTGTGAATTTGTTGATTTCATTATGAATTATTTAAATGACTTGTTTTTGTTTGATTATTTTATTTAATTGTTTATTTAATTGGGTTTTAATTATTGGATGTAGTTTTTTTTTTTTATAGAGTTAATTGTTTTTCTTGATATTGAATTAGTTGTTAAATGATTTAATTTAGTATAAATGGATTTTCTATAAATACAGTTTTATGTTAGTAGGATTAATTAGGGTTTTGGTTTTAGACGTCACGTATGTAGCCGACATAATTAAACATTAATTAGGTTTCATATGGGCCGACTAAGGATTTAGTTTAGGGTTTAAATTAAACTAGGGTTTTGTGTAAACTTATAAACCTATAAATATATCTGTATAAGGCTGTCAAGGGTTTAGAACCCTAACCACGTTGTGGTGACAGAAGAAACAGAGAGGAGGAAAACCAAAGGGGCGCCGGGAAAACTTAGAAGAAAGACGTTGAGATTTCTGAACCGAGTCTCACAGGCAAGTTTTATAACTAGCTCTACCTCTTTGACCTGAGTTCTTTGCATCCCTAACACAATCTAAGGATGAAATAAGGATTTAAAACAAATCTGGTTCGCATGCTTGCATTGTTTAATAAACATATGTTTATAATCTGTTAAATTGTTTGTTTTACAGTGTTGTTGTTTTACTTAATTCATGATTTTAATGATATCAATTGATGGATTAAGGATTTTAATAGTTCTAAAACATAATGGGAAATCTTAAAATTAATCTGGGACGCAGGGCTAAATACCTGAAACAGTATGTGTTCTTGTATAGATTTTAATCCACTTATGAGCTGTTTTGTGTAACTCTTGTTCCAATTGAATTCAATTAATGAATGATGAATTTAAATTACACTGGAATACCCTAGGACTTAGTTTTAAATCAACAAGAAACTTGGGTTGGAGGAACAAAGTTGCCGGAGTTGGAGAAGAAGTTGAACAGCATGTTTTCTTTAGGTGCTTGTTAATCGTTTTTAAATTATTTTGTTTAATTCTTATTCCCACTGAATGTGATTATTAAACAAGGAAGTTAATTAACTTTTGAACACCCAAGGACTTAATTTTAATCAGCAAGAAATTTGGTTTGGAGGATCAACACAGCCGGACACCGCCGGAATTGGAAAAACGACACACAGGGGAAGGAGCCTGCTCTATTTCAAGTAGAGTAGGCTCAATTAAAAAGTGGAGCAGGCTCTACTTTGTAGTAGAGCCGGCTTTACTTGGTAGCGGAGGCGGCTCCACTTTGGATGGAGCCGGCTCCTTTGTGGGTTTTCATTTTTTTTTTGGTTTTCTGCGAGACTGCTAGCTACTGTGCTTGGGTTAATGGGTTTCCAGGGGCAACTGAGAGTTTAGTTAGAGGTTCTCAGTGATGTTTAAATTCTACTAAAACTTCAGAAAGCATGAAAATACATATTATACCATAGAAGGTTAGTAGAAGGGACGTTATGAAACTGTTAAGAAAGTTTACATGGTTGCCTTGTGCGGATGATTCAAGTTGTTTAATTTTAATTTAGCAATTGAATTAGGAGTTTGATATGTAAATCATATAACAGGGGTATGGGATTAAGCCTATTAACTAATAAAAATTCAGTTAATACTTAATAAGGAACTAGTTGATGGTTACCAAAACAATTGTTTATGTCAACTTGTGGGATGTTGTGGAGTAATTACAAGTAAGCATGTAGATACTGTTAATGTTATTATTTTGCTTATTGTGAGTTACAGGATGGTTATATTTATTCTCTGCATTTAAAATTTGTTAGAGAATCAAGTACTGGATGTATTGAACAAGCATGCTAGTTAAACATTCTGGTTATGCTTATGATTGGGTATGTTGATATTGATATGTTATGCTGTTATATATATATATTATCAATTCTGGATGGATGTTTTTGTATGCACCGGTATGGGACGGTGACATACTAGGGGGATTAGCTTAAAAATGCTAAGTCCTACCTACTCTGGAATAAGGGATGGATTAACTACAAAAGTTAAGTCCTACCTGTCTTCTGTGTCAGATCAATAAATAATTGAGTGACACTTTGGTTTGGAATGTAATTTAAATATATTTTTATGATGCCACGATATGAGCCTGAGTCTTAGAGTCGTTGGTTAGGTAGCATATATGCATTGGGATGCATAGCTGGCTATGATGGTTGGATGTGTACCCTGCTAGGACTAGGTAGTCATGCCCACCTTTGGGTACGTTTTCGCATGGTGCCTACTAGTCAGGTTGAGACAGGCCTATAGTCCAGTGAGAGTCCTGTAGTGTGATTATATATATATATTTATCTATGGACTATTAGCTGTTGTTGGATTGGTTAGGATGTACATGCGTATCGAGTCTCTGCTTGGATAGTAGTAGTATAGAACTTGCATGTGGGCCTGACCCACTCATCATTTTTCAGGTATCGGGCATTTCCAGTCTAGAGCTTGTTCGTGCTAAGCAGAGACGATCTTCCATTCTACCGATGAAGTAGGACTTCTTTCCAAATATTAGATTTGGATTTTATTTTCAGTTTTTACTTTCATTCAGTTTGGGATTTTTATTAGGGGTCCACTAGAGATGGATTCCCGAGTTGTTAAACTGATGGAGTTTTGGATTATCAGATTCTAAGTATTTAATTATAAAGGATTTTACTTTTAGTTTCTTCCAGCTTAAACTTTATTTATTAAATTCATTTTGTCATCTGTGTTCGATTAAATATTAATTGTTTGATATCCTTCGGATCTGTGCTCGGACTTGATCACCCGTGGCTCTAGAATCGAGGGGGTATCACAATGGTCAAATAATAATATTAAACCCAAAAGGGTAAAATAGACTTTTACCGTATTCGAATGGTGATATAAAAGTCCTTAGGCGCAAAATTGTCATTTTCTGATCAAAATACAACATTCATACCCTTCAGGGGTAATTTTGTCGTTTTCTAGGGTCATTTTGCACTTTAGTTAGGGTCTGGGGGTCATTGGGTAATTATATTAAATTATCAAGTCCTTGTGCAATCATCAGTTCATCTAACCGGTTAGG